AGTGCTATGATCATAGGCATGGACCACCACACCCACTTATTTCTGGGTTCTCTATTCTGTTCTTTTTGTTTATGTGTCTGTATGTTTTAATGTCAGTACTATGCTGTTTTGGCTTCTATAGCTTTTGAGTATGTTTTAAAGTAGGGTATTGTAGTGCCTCTACTCTTGTTCTTTTTGTTCTGGATTGCTTTGAGTATTCAGGATCGTCTTTGGTATCATATGAATTTTCTGCTTATTTTTCTAGTTCTGTGAAGAATGTCATTTGTATTTAGAAATTATCTTGAATATGCAGGTTGGGTAATATGGACACTTAAAATATTATCTTCCTATCCATGAATATGGGCTGTCTTTCCATTTTTTTGTGTCCTTTTCAATTTAATTCTAAAATGTTCTGTAATTTTCATTGTAGAGAATATTTATGTCTTTGGTTAAATTTTTCCTAGTTGATGTTTTTAGTTTCTTACAGCTGTTACAAATGGGATTGGTGTTTTGATTTTTCTTGGCAGTTTTTTTACTCATGCATTAAAAAGCTACTGTTATTTGTATGTTGGTTTCATATCCTGTAATAGTGAATTCATTTATTAGTTCTAATAGTCCTTTGGTTGGAATCTTCATATTTTTTTTCTGTATATGTAACTATACTGGCTTTAACTAGGGATAATTGGACTGCTTCCTCTCCTATTTGGACATTCTTTCGTTCTCATGTCTTATTGCTCTGGCCTAGACTTCCAACGCTATATCAAAGAAGAGTGGTGAAAGTTGACAGCCTTGTCTTGTTTTAGATTGTAGAAGAAAAGGATTGCAGCTTTCCCCCATTCAGTATGAAGTAGACTGTGAATTTGTCATGAACAGCCTTTGTTGTGGTGAAGTGTATTCCTTTTGATACTTAATTTTTTGAAGTTTCTTTGTTTATTTGTTTGTTTTTGGAGACAGGGTTTGCCATTTGTTCAGGCTGGCCTTGAACTCACTATGTAGCTCAAGCTGGCCTCCAACTTGCAGATTCTCCTGCCTCAGCCTCCCAAGTGCTGGGATTACAGGTATGCACTGCCACATGTGGCTGAAATTTCTTATCATGAAGGAAATGTTGAATTTTATCATGTAATTTTTCTGCATGTGTTGAGATGATAAAATCAACATCAGAATGTGATGTATTATGGTTATTGATTTGTATATGTTGAACCATCCTTGCATTCTTTGGATAAATCTCCCTTGATCATGGTATATACTCTTTTTATTTGCTGTTGGATTTGATTTTTAGTTTTTTTTTTTTTTTGAGATAGATAGAATCTTGCTTTGTAATTGATGCTGGCCTTGAACTTACTGTGTAGCACAAATTGGCCTTGAACTTGCAGTGATCCTCCTGCCTCAGCCTCCTGAGTGCTGGGATTATAGGTGTGCGCCACTCCACCTAGCTGATTTGTTAGTGTTTTGTTGATGATTTTTGCATGTATTTATATTCTCTTTAATTTTATTTCCTTGTCTGATTTAGGTATCATGGTAATGTTGGCAGTATAGAATGAGTTTGGAGGGGTTCTCTTCCTTTCAAAACTTTGGAATAATTTGGGAAGAAGTGGTGTTAATTCTTTAAAAATTTGGTAACTGTCTTTGGTGAACCCATTTGGTTTGGGCTTTTCTTTTTTGAGATACTTTTTATCACTGACTGAATCTTGTTATTCATGCTGGCCTGTTCAGGTTTTCTTTGTTGTCATGGTTTGATTTTAATAGGTAATATGTTTTAAGACTCATTTGTTTCAGGGTTTCCAACCAGCTGGTTCCAAGGCAGGGTGACAGAGGGACAACAGTTGAGGCCGTGGAAGACAGCAAAAGCAACAAAGGACCTTAACAGGTCTTTATGCCTCTTTTATCCTCCTCAGATGATTTCCCATGGGTAGCACTCACACACCCTTAATCCTAGTACCCTCAGGCCTAGCCCCACCATGAATCAATCACATACTCTAGATTCAGCCACCTCTGAGAGAGCAAGAAGCTTTGGGAGGACATCTGAACATGAGCCATAACAATAGTTGAACAAAGAACTTGTATCCCGAATAAATAAGGAGTTTCTACAACTCAGTAAGAAAGAGAAAATTTATTTAAAACCCAGGAAGAGATTAAAGGTGATCCATCATAAAAAAGAACATCCAGATGGCTGTGAATATGCAAGCTGTCATAAACATTGCAGATTAAGACAATGATATAGCATCAGACATATTCTCCCATAACTAGAATTGGTAGGACTGACACTGTCAAGTATTGGTGAGGATGGACACTAATGTTACGCAGCTAGTAGGGGTATGAATTGGTGTAACCACAATTGGAAACCTAGGGTACAGTGTGTACTAAAGTCAAATACAGCCAGACGCTATGACCCAGACATGCCGCTCCTAGAAATGTACTCAACAAAGATGCATGGGTATTGACACTGAAAGGTACCTAAGAAGGTTCTTTGCATATTATTAGTAATTTTTGGGGGGATTCTGAGGATCAGACTTAGGACCTTGTGCTTGCCAGGAAGGCACAGTGCCACTGAGCTAAATCCCCAGCCCCTGCACGTCATTTGTAATAGCTGCAACAGCACACATGTCCTTAACGAGCAGAATGGGTAAATACGGTATGATCTATTCATACAGTGGGTTACAGACATGAAAACAAGTAGACTACAGTGAACAAAGAATATCACACATATCATTGAGGAAAAGAACCTGACAGTGAAAGAATACATGTTGTAGGACTCCATTTGTATGTATTTCAGAACTTTTCAAAAGTACAGAATTAAAAACTAAGGAGCTGGTATGGTGGAGCATGCTTGTAATCCTAGCACTTGAGGCTGAGGCAGGAGGATTGCTGTATGTTCAAGGCTAGTCTTGGCTACATAGTTCAAGGCCAGCCTGAAGAACATAGCAAGACCCTGTCTCAAAAAACAAAACAAAGCAACAAAACAAAAAACAAACCAAAACTGCAGGATAACAGTTTTGGGGAAGATTGAAGGAATACTAGATTGGAGTGGAACATTAGAGAGACTTTTAGGTGCTTACTAATTTTTATCTAATTATGGATGTATTTATTTTGTGAAAATTTATTGAGCTGTATGGGTTTTGTTTTTTTTTGTTTTTTTTGTACTGGGGATCGAACTCAGGCCTCTGCGCTTGCCGGGCAGGTGGTGAAACCACTGAGCCAAATCTCTGGCCCAGATTTTTATATTTATTGTATGTATGTTTCATATAAATTTAAAAATTCTAAAGGAAGTGACCCTTCTGAAATTTATATAGTGTGGTGGTTACTGCCATTCATGGAAATGCGGTTTTCCATTCACATTGCTGTTTTTCTTTCTGTCTTGGCAAAGGGAGGACAAGGTTGCATTTTAATTGACTCTTTGTTCCCTTTTGCACTTGTCCCCTTTAGCTTCTAGTTGTTTAGCACTCACTGGTGATGGGTACTGGGCAGTGGGGAGACTGGCATGATATAGTTGTTATGAAGTTAGGACAGTACTAGAGAAAACCTAGAATAAGCAAGGAAGGAAGTAATTCCAAGGCTTGTCATAGAAGTCAAGAGCTAGAACCCTCATTTCAGTTCATCTCCTTTCCTAGGATATGTAAAACAGATTTTTCCCAATTATTGTTAAAACATACTATTAAATTATAAATAACAGGTTAGAAATATGCTATTACTACTAGCACAGTACAGTGAAAAGACAATGGACTTTATATTTCTTCTTCCTTCCTCCTCTTTCTCCTCCTTCTTCCATTTTTTTTTTTTTCCTGAGACAGGGTCTTGCTATGTAGTTCAGGCTGGTCTTGAACTCATTGTGTAGCCCAGATTGGCCTTGAACTCATGGCAATCCTCCTGCCTCAGCCTCCTGAGTGTTGGGATGACAGATGTGTGCCACCACGCTAGGCTGAGAATGAACTTCAGAGTTAGATTTATGTCCTGGCTTTTCTGTTTCCTAAGTACTCAGTTTAGGGCAGTTTAGTGTGATAGCTTGTGCCCCAGTCTCTTCCTGTCCATGGGGTACATTGTTCTTAGTCAGTGGACACTCAGTGGGATTATTGTGTGGGAAGAATTGCCCTAGGGTGCACCACATGGCTCAGTTGGTGTTAGATTTCTTTCCCATCCTGCTTGCTAGCCCACTGACTAGCATTAGTAGAGGCAGAATCCTCCTGCCTGTGTACAAAACAGAAGAATTTAGTGTATTTATTCAAATATCCGGCTTAAGGTAGACTTCTTAGTCTCTGAGGGAAAATAAAGGGCTTTTTGTGAAATAATCTGTCTCTTTTTTGGAGAGAGGGTCTTGCTTTTAGTTCAAGCTGGCCTTGAACTTGCAGTGATATTCCTGCTTCAGCCTTGTGAGTGCTGGGATCACAGGCATGTGCCTCCACACCTAGCTTTGTCTTTTTTTTTTTAATATAGGGATTCAATCCTGTTCTCTCTTTTAACAGATGTTTATTATAAAACTTTGCTTATTAAAAAATAAAAATTTTATAAGAAAAATTTAAAAATTATCCATAACCATGCCACACATATATTTGCTTTTAAATTTTTCTTATATTTTCTTCCATTTACTTGTCTATACATTTTTAAATTGTAGTTTGAGATAAACCATATGGAGAATTTTTGCATCTTTCACTTCTCTTTTAATTATAACATTTCTCCATGTCATTAAAATTTCTTTATATTATTTAGATAGCCGTGGTATTGTACCTTAGGGCACATTATAATTTAAGAATGTTGTTGTTAGACACTTGAGGAGTTTCCAGTTTTTGTTCCATGCTGTGAAAGCATCCTTTTTGGCATAAGTCGTTCACATTTAAGATGATTTCCTAAGTCTACCTTTGGAGAATATAGGTAGTGTATTGAGGTGTTGGATACTTTATGGCGGAATTGCTGGATAGACAGGGTGTCTGTTAATGCTTCTACCAGCAACACAGATGGATCTTATTTTGTGACATTCTCACTATCAATGGTGATTATTCACTTTTAAACACCCCCCGTTTTGTTTATAGCACTTGTTTAGCGCTCAGCACAGGACTGTGACCAGACAGAGTAGGCAGCGGCTGATAAATAACAACAGTTTGATGGAACGTTTCCTACAAGATGTTCTGCAGCATCACCCCTACAATTACCAGGACAGTAGGTAAGGAGGGTCCGTGCGTTAACAATGCTCGGTGGTTCTATGTTACAGTAGGTGTTTGTGTTAATGTTCCAGAACTTCTTCAAGTTAATCTTAAGGTCAGGGAAGAGAAGTTGACCCCACCTTGTGAGATGCTGGAGGGTGAACATGGCATAATAGGCCAGCGCAGCACCACTGAGCTATATCCCTGCTCTGAAGTGCGGTTTTGGGGGCAGGGAAGGAAGGGAAAAGCAGTCTGAAGGAAAGCAATGGAAATAGAGCTTTTGTAGGTAGAGAGGGGAAGAAGGGCTAGAGGAGGGTGGTGGGGGCCAAAAGAAAAAAGGAATTAAGATGTGTTGAGTACACCTCCCCCATGATGAGTGTGGCCATTGTGTACTGCAAACCTGTACTACAAAGCAAAAAAGAAAGTGGAATTTTTATCTAGTAATTTCCATTTGAATTTTTTTTTAATTTTTATCTTGGGCTTTGACACTTTTGATAAAGAGTATTCACCAGTTATAAGTTTTTATGGGCTATCCATAACTTGGGTCTGTGTGAAGTTTTCTCATGGTTAAACTTGGGTTATTCATTTAGGTGGGATGTCACAGAACTGCTGTTGTGGCCTGGTGCTTGTTGCTCAGGGGACACACGATACACTGTACTTCGCTGTGATGTTAAATTGAGTCATTTGATTAGAGTGGTGTCTACCAACTGAGTCTTCTGTAGAGTTACCATTTCTTGTTGTAATTAATAAGAATCCCTGAAGAATTCTGAGATTTTGTAAAGGTCTCTCATATTGCCAACACTTATTTTAAGCATCCATTGATTTTTTTTTATCCCCCAAAATAGTTTTCTAAACCTTAACCAGAATTCTACCATAAAGAAGAGTTTTACTTGTTTAGTTCATTAGAGACTCATGGCCATTTCTCTTATTGTTTGACTTTTAATCTGTCACCATTTATTTTATTACTTTAACACAATTGTTTTTTAACGTAAAATTGTATGAGCATTTTGAACCCTTGAATAGCCACTTCCAGTTATGTTTACAGCAGTGATGTATAAGGGTGGTCATTTTGTGTTATCTTCCCCAAATCTGGGATTCTCAATACCCCTCCCCCAATAATAGAACAAAAAATTATATTCCTTAATTAGTCTTTATGAGTAGAACTTTTGTTTATTTTTGGCCATACTTTATCCTATGTATTGTTTGTTAATCTATTTTGCCCACTTTCTTATTGAGTTTGTATATTTTGGATTATACAATATTTAAATATGGATAGTAATTCCTTATATTTTATGTTATGAATATTTTCTTACAGTCTGTTATCTTTTAACTATATATGTATCTCTTTTCTTTCTTTTTTCTTTTATATGAGAATTTTCCTTTATGGCTTCTTTTCTATCTTTTGTTTGCCCTTGTTTTATTTATTTATTTATTTTCAGTTCTCATGGTCAAAGCGAGGGATTCACATGTGGTCAGCAACCATTCTTCCACCCAGTCATATCCCCAGCCTCTAGATATTTTTAATTGTCTTGGAATTTTTTTTTTTTTTTTTTTTTGTACTGGGGATTGAACTCAGGACCTTGTGCTTTGAGGCGAGTGTGGCACCACTGAGTTAATTCCCCAGCCCATCTACTTTAAAAAAAATACTAAATGGGGCCGGGGATTTAGCTCAGCGGTTTGGTGGCCTGCCTTGCACGCACAAAGACCCGAGTTCGATCCCTGGCACCAAAAAAAAAAACTAAATGTAACTCTACCCCTGATATAAAATATCACTACCTGTAACAGCCTAATATCTATATTTGTATGTATGTGTGTGTGTCTTAGTTATTTTTCTTGTTCCTGAGAACAAATACCCGACACCCAAAGTTAAAGGAGAAAAGGTTTATTTCATCTTACAGTTTGTAGAAGTTTCAGCCCAGTCAGCTGTCTCCAAGGCAGGGGTTATGGCAAAGGGGCATCACAGAGTAGAAACAGTCCATGGCAGGGTAGGCAGGAAGCAGAAAGGTACTTTCTTTTTGTCCCTTTTATTCCATCCATTCTATAAACCTATTCATTGGTGCTACCCAGACCCAGGGTGAGGTTTCACTTTTCAGTAGTCCATTCAGCCAAACTCAGAACTGCAGTAATGCACCTAGAAGACTAATCTAGATATCACACACCCTTAATCCATATTCACACACTCTAGACCAGCCACCTCCCAAAAGCCCCACCTATTATAAGTATATGAGGCTTTAGAGGGACATCTAGATATGAGCCATGACAGTATGTGTATATGTGTATATGAGAAAAATATGGATGTTTAAATACCGTTTTATTCTTTGATTTTTTTTTTTGATACTGCAGATTGAACTCGGGAAAGTAGGTAGCGACCATTGAGCTAAATCACTGGCTTGTTCCTTGATTTTTAAAAGTATATGCTAATCCTCCTTTGTTCCTTTACTAGGAATTGTAGGTTTTTTTTTTTATTTTAGAAAATCAGCTCTTGCTATATTTTTGTTTCTTATTTACTAACTTTTCTTTTTTCTTAATTTACCTTTTTATTGCAGCAGTGTGGTTGTTTTTCCATCTTAAATTGGGTGCTCAGTTAATTCGTATTTACAAATTTTTTCTTAATAGAAATATTTAAAAGTATAAAGTTTCCACTAGGTATAGTGGTGCATGCCTGTAACCCAGAACTTGGGAAGCTGAAGCAGGAAGTTTGCTAGGAGTTCCAGACCAGGCTGGGCTACATAGTGAGTTCTAGGTCAGCTTGGACTACAGAGAACCTGTTTAAAAAAAAAAAAAGCGAAGTTTCCATTTGACATACTCAGATTTTTACATATAATTGTTTTATTATTTATAGTTTTTATAAATTCCTTTTTAGCTCACGAATTATATAGAGTAGTTTTAATGATTTGATATTTAGGGGACTTGTTAAATTAAATTACAAATGATTAGAAATATGGAGAATTATTTAGTTGTTAATATTAAATTTATATACATATTCTGCATGTGGTTGCACATGTCTATAATCCCAGCACTCTGGGAGGCTGAGGCAGGAGGATCATAGGTTCAAACCCAGTTTGGGTATCTTAGTGACTTAAAGTACCCTGTCTCAAAACAAACAATAAAAAGGGCTGGGGTTGTAGTTCAGTGCAATGGCCATGGGTTCAGTCCCTAGTTCTGCAACAAACAGCAACAAAAAACCCACATGTATAGACAAAGATGCAAATCAAAGCAGCTAGGTGATAATTCCTAAACTTTGGGGGGAGTTTATTTAGTTTGGTTTTTGAGACAAGGTCTCACTATGCAGTTCAGGTTTGCCTCAAACTGGTGGCAATTCTCCTGATTCAGCCTCCTGAGTACTGAGATTACAGATGTGCACCACCGTGTTACACTCTCTCTCTCTTAAAGAAATATGTGTGTGTGTGTGTGTGTTTTGTTTTGTTTTGTTTTTTGTGTTTTTGAGACAGGGTCTTGCTTTGTAGTTCAGGCTGGACCTGAACTCACTATGTAGCCCAGGCTGGCCTCAAACTCATGGTGATCCTACTGCCTCAGCCTCCCAAGTGCTGGGATTACAGGCATGTGCCACCACACCCAGCTCTATAGATTTTTTTTTTTAAGTTTTGTTCCCCAAAAAAGATAAGAAAAAAGTGAGTCTTCCTTTTTTCCTGCTCCAACCATCTTTTTCACTTTCCTATGGGTCACAAGTGTGACCAGTTTCCTATATAACTTTCTATAGATATTCTAAGTGTATAGTTTTTTCCCCATTCTATTTTAGTATTAGTATTTCAGTTATTTAGTATTCTGTATATACTTTTCACTAACAATATTTATAGTGATTGATCTTTATTACTTACAGAGCTGCCTCATAATTTTTAACCTGCACTGTTTCCCATTAAATACCATTAATTTTTGAACCACTGCACAACTTATGAGTATTAAGGTGGATTCCAGTCATTTGCTTTTACCAAAAATAAAAACAAAATAGCTGTATTCTTGTACATTCTTCATCACACATGCAAAGTAAACCAAAAGTGAAATTACTAGGTCAGGGAGTGCATGCATTTACTTAATTGACACTGCCAAATTGTTCTTCATAGAGGATACCAGCCTATGTAAAGATTACCTAATAATCTGAAGTGAACCTGTACTCTTACTAACAGTGTATTAAAGTCCTATGTCCCTATACTATTGCTGAAATGTATTCAAATAAAAATAGCCAAGGCCTGGGGATTTAGCTCAGTGGCGCTGCACCTGCCTTGCAATTTAAGGTCCTGAGTTCGATCCCTGGTACTGGGTGGGGGGATAGCTGATGTGAACGCTTATTAGCATTTGTGAATGCTAGGCTAAAGGTTTTGATATATTTACCACTTTACTTCCTTTTTTTCAGAAGTGGAATCTGGACAAAGTCAAGTAACTTGTGTCAAACTTTTTGCTATTTACTATTCTGAAAACTGAAAAATGTTATATGATTTCATTTGCATTTTCTTATATTTAGTAGCCATTTGGGTTTATTAAGAAGCAATTGGTTAGAGCTACTTCCCTGGTCTGCACTTATTACCTTCCTGAAAGACACAGAGATCACAGTCTGCTGTGAGTGTCCTGTGAGGATAGCTCAGAATAGAAAGAAAATAACATTTATTATGTATCTTAAACTCTTTTTTTTCAGACTAGCACAGTGTGAGATGCCTACGAATACCACACCACCCGAGGTGATTCGTTTGGATGAGTTTTCCCCAGAAGATGCCGAAGCTGAACAAATAAGCTCCAAGAGTTCCGAATCTGTTGAACAGCTGAGTGCTCGCCCTGGAGTCTCTCAGAACTCCACGAAAGAGGTTTCAGTTCGACCATCAGTTATTCAAAAACTAGAGAAGGGACAGCAGCAGTCTTTGGAGTTTAATAAAATTGAGAGTTGTGTGAGAAAAATTAATCTAGTAGGTGTTGGTCAAGCTACAAATAGTGGCAAGAGTGTAATCCGTCTTCCTGTAATTTGTAATGCTCCTGCTAGGTGTGTGCCTGAAAGTTCTCAGGCAAGGCCAGTTATTGCGAGTACTAGTAGGGCACCAGTAGCAGCCTGTTTAGAGTCAGTTAGCAAATGTAACCCAAGCAAAGATGACAGATATACTAAGGAGCTAGATGAGGTCCCTAGAAATTGTATGCCTTCATGCCATCCAGAAGTTTCTTCAGGTTCTTATGAGAATCCTAAAGATTCAAACAGTAAATCTGTATGCGTGAATCTAGATACACTGATTTACCAGAAAGATGTAGAATGTCAGGGTGAAGCTTTGTCACCTGCCTGTAAATTCCGTGAACCAAAGGATATGAAGAGTTCTGTAGGAGTGGAATCTTCTTCCAAGGTAGCAGTAAAGTCAGTAGGCAAGCTGAATAAACCTGATGTGCCGCCTGCCAAACTGATCTCCGAAGGTGCCATTCCAAAGCGCCACGGGGAATTACTATTGCATGAAGGTTGTACACAGGAAGAAAAGCATTTGGTGTGTAACAAGCCAGGGGTTTTGAAACAGAAGTGCTCAGTGAGTGCTACAGAGAAGTTGGATTGCAGCTCTCTTCAGTCAGTGTCTGTCCCAGCCCGAAAGGCTGTTCGAGAGCTACACCTTTGGAAAGATGATGATCACGAAGATGAGAACTGTGGATCTCGAGGTAATGAAATAAGTTTCAATTATGATTTTTCTCCTTCATCAGCTGATCTCTCTAAAGTGACTGCCAGAAAAATAAACCTTTCAGGGAAAATACATGCCCCTTTACAGTACAAGAGAAATACAGCCTGTGATTCTGAAATAAGCTCAGATGATAAGTGTGGTGATTCTCTTCAGGTGGTTGACAACCAACCTCAAGTGATTATTAAAGAAAAAAACCCTCAAGAAGCAAAACACATTAGCCTGGTAGATGAAAGCTATGATTCCAGTGGTTTGGAAATGAATTTTGATTGTGACAACTCAGCTGAACCAACTGACCACAACCCCCAACAGCCTGACGTAGATGTAACCTTTCCTGCTGGGGGTCCCATTGATTTGGTTGATGGGAGCTATGGATCTGACAGCTCCAAAGGAAGATCTGCTTCTGTTACTTCAGTTGAATTGGTAGGTGAGGATCCCCCAGTGGATGTCACAAGAAAGAAACTTCAGAGGAAGCCTTGCATTTACCTGGTGGATAAAAGCTGCAAATCTGGTTATTCGGAATCAAGTTCTGACAGTGATGGTTTTCCTCAGTCAGCAGATGACCATCCCCAAATGACTGTTACAGAAGGAAACCAGAAAGGTAGACTTGTCCAGCTCAAAAGTAAGAAATGTAAACCCAGTAGTGCCAGAGCGCATCTTGCTTGTGGTGTTTCCCTTGAGGCAGTGAATCATCAACCCCAGAGAGATGTTGGAGGAGTAAACCTTCTGAAAAAGGAGAATGCTGGCCTTGTGGATAAGAACTGTGAGTCTAATGCCCCTGAAATGGGTTTTCATGCTGATGCTCAATTAGTGGCTGACGAATCTCAAGTAGCAGTTAAAGAACTAAACCTTCAGGCAGTAGATATTGACTTAGACAATAAGAGTGTTCAATCTAGCATTTCTGATCTAAGTTTTGAGTCACAGGATTATCTTTATCAGTCAGCTAATGATGAATTTGAAAGGGATTTAGGTGAAGTAAATCTTACAGAGTTAAATGTTGACGTGGAATCTCAGAGCAGTGGGTGCTCCAGTTCTGAGTTGACATTTGATTCCGATTCCCCTCTTCTATCAGTTACTGAGCGGTCTCAGCTGGATGTTGAAAGACTAAAAGAAGATCCCTTTAACCTGGAAGAGGAGAGCTGTGAGTCAAATAGCTCTGGCATAACGTTTGATTCTGATATTCCTACTTGCTCGGTAGCTGACCAACCTCAAGTAGCTGTTTATGAGGAAGAGCCTGTTGATCTGGAAAATGAGAGTGATGAATCTTGTGTTTCTGAAATAACTTTTGATTCTGATATTCCTCTTCATTCAGGAAATGAGCAAGCCGAAGTAGCTGTTAAAGAAGTAATCATTCAGGAAGAAGAATATGTACCCTTAGAAAAGAAGAATGCTAATCCCAGTGGTTCTGAAATCAATTCGGATTCTTACATCCCTCTTCATTCAGTGACTAATCCTCCCGAAGTAGCCATTAGAAAATTAAATTCGCAAAAAGAACAGCAGGTACAATTAAAACATAAAGAAAACGAACGTACTGATTATGAACTAAATTTGAATTTTGAGATTTTTCATTCAAGTACTGGGCATTCTGAAGAGCTCGTTAATGACAGAAACTCTCAGAAAGAAGAGCACATACACTTAGAAAATAAGTCTAACAAATCCAGTGTTTCTGGACCATATCTAGATTCTGACATCCCTTTTCTGTCAGTGATTCACAAACCTCAAGTAGTTGTTAAAAATACTTGGCTTCACAAAGAAAAGCAGGCTGAATTTCAAGGCAAAAGTGCTGAACTTAGTGCCTCTGAAGTAGAGTCTAATGTTCCTCACTGCCCAGTAACAAAACCTCAGGTATCTCTTAAAAGAAAAGAAAAGAAGAAACATATTGAAAAGAAGACTGATAGATATGGTGATTCTGAACTAATTTTGACTTCTGATGACCTTCCTCAGTCAGTGCCTAAAAAACCTCGACTAACTGTTTTGCGGGAGGACCTTGTTCACCCAAAAGGTGAAAGTACTCAATGTAGAGGTTTTGAAGCACATGTGGCTGTTACTGGCTCTCTCTCTTCAGTCCCTGACCAATCTCATCAGATTCTTAGGAAAGAAAACCATGTTAATCTGAAAGACAAAAGCAACAAATGTAGTGAGTTGAAAGTAAGTTTTTATTCTGTTGACCATCTTCAGTCGGTTGAGCAGCATCACAAAGTGGTTAACAGAATTAATCTAAGTAAGGAAGAGGCTATCATCCTGCAAAGTAAGATTGGCGTGCCTAGTTGCTCAAAAGCAATACATAATTCTGATATTCCTCTAAAGTCTGCAGCTGATCAACCTGAAGTAGCTGTTAAATGGATCAGCCAGGGGAAAGAATATAGAATATTCTTGGAAAATAAGAGCAAAAACATTTATCTTAAAACGAATTTGGATTCAGATTTCTTGGTTCAAGCAATAGTTGATCGACCTAACATAGCTGTTGCAAAGTCAAAGGCAGAAGGTAAGTGTGATCCATCTGGCGATTCTGAAGGAAACACTGATTCTGCTACCTCTGTCCAGCCAGTGGCTGACCAGCCAAGGGAAATGATGAAAGAAGCAGCTTGTGGGAAGGACAAAGATGTTGACACTGAAGGTAAGAGGGGTGAAGCTGAGGGTTTTGAAATTACACATGATTCTGATGTCCTTCAGCCAGTGACTGGCCATACCAAAGTAATTCAAGAGGTGAAACTTTTGAAAAAGCATCTTGACTTGGAAGATAAGAATGTCAAACCTAGTGAATCTAAAATGAATGTTGATTCTAATGAACCCCCTCAATCTATGACTAATAGAATTGGAGAGCCTGTTAAACTGGAAGCAAATCTTCCAGTGAAGGGACATGTTTGTTTTGATGATAAGGGCTATGAATCTGACAATTCTGAAATAATTTATATTTCAAATACCCCTCTTCATTCAGTCATTCAGCAACCACAGAGTTTGCAAGAGGAGTGCGCCAGTTTGAAAATGAAGAGCAGTGATCCTCGTCCTACAACAAGCTTTGATTCCAGTGAACCTCGTCAGTCAATTCGTGGCAAGCTTAAAAAAACTGTCCAAGAAATGAATGTGAAGGAAGGCCATATTTACTTGGAAGATAAGAGCTACAAACTAGTTGGTTTTGAAGCAAGTTGTGATTCTGACATTCCTATCCAGATTGTGTTTGATCCTTCTCATGCATCTGCCAAAGAAATAAATGTGCAGAAGGATCATAATGACCTAGAAAGTGAGAGCTATACAGCCCGTTGTTCTGAAGTAAAACGTGGTACTGGCATTCAACTGCAGTCAGAAGTTGATCCACTTCAGATGGCTTGGGAAGAAACAAGCTTTCAGAACAGAGAGCTTTTTGACGTGGAAGGACATGCCAGTGAGTCCAGTGATTCTGAAATGATGTATGATTCTGATGTCTCTTTTCAAATCATAGTGACCCAGCCACAGTCGTCAGATGAAGAAGCTGATTCTCCAGAGGTGGTGGTAGTGAATGTGGTGGCTGGTGATTGTGATCGTGATTGTGAAGTAATTTCTGATCCTGAGATCTCTCTTCAGTTAGTGACTGACCCACCTCAGTTAACTTTCGAGGGGATTTCTGATCCTGATATCCCTCTTCAGTTAGTGACTGACCCACCTCAGTTAACCATCGAGGGGATTTCTGATCCTGAGATCCCTCTTCAGTTAGTGACTGACCCACCTCAGTTAATCATCGAAGAAACCAGCTCTGTAAATGCAGTATCTGTGGAAGTAATAAAGAGCAACTGTACCTCATGTGGTTCTCACGTAAGACGTAAAGCCTCTTCTCAACCAGTGACAGACCAGTTCAAAAAGACTTTCAAAATCATAAACCGAGAGAGTGACTACATTATTCTGGGAGACTCCACTTGTCAATCTTGTGGTTGTGAGGTAGATTTTAACAGTGCCTCTGATCAGTCTGTGACTTACCAGTCACAAGGGCCTGGTCATGAATATTTTCACTCAGAAGATAAGAGCTATGAATCTGATGGTCCCGAAGGAAATTTTTCTTTTGAAGGCACTTCTCAGGAAACTGACACTGAAGTCAATGTTTGGAAAGATCCAAAATATACTGGACTCAAAGATAAGAGCTGGGAATCTAGAGATTCTGCAATGGACAGTGCTGCCTTTTCTAAGTCCGTGATCCATCACACAGCTGATAGAGAAAACCTTTTGATGCGAAAACATGCAGACCCAGCACACAAGAGTGGTATATCCTATGGTTCTCAGATAGATTTTCAGGGTGATCCCTCAACTCAGGCTGACATAGAAAAGCCTCGGGATGTTGAGAAGAAAACACGCCCACGGAAAAGGGTAACTTTTGACCCAAAAGAATATCATTATTTTCCTTCAAACTATGTTTGTGTGGTTGATTCTGTAAAGAGCCTGGATGAAGCACCAGAAGTCATAGAAGATCCTGATGAACCAGTCCTTGAAGTCTTGCCTTTTGTGTCTCCTTCAGTTTCAGAAGAAACATGTCCTCAAAAAATGAGAGGTGATAACATCAAAACTAACTGCCATGTGAAGAAATTTAAGAAAGACCATTACCATAGTTACTCTCTCAGTAACCGTACAACCAGGGAAGTCTCACTGAATGAAGAAACAGAGCCTGCCTGTCTTGACTCTATTCAGAATACTATCTCTGTTCAGACTTTTCCACATAGTGGCCATGTTGCAGGTGGAGCTGCAGATACCAATGACATTTCAGTAATCTTAGATAAGTCATGTTGTCATTGTCCTCTAGCAGTGGAGCTGCTTAAACAGAATTGGCATTTGGCTTCTCCGAGCCAGGCATTAAAAGTCAACCATGCAACTCAAACCAATAAGTACCCATTAAAGAAGAGAAAAATAATTGGACAAGCAGAAGAATCACCCCAAAGGAGGTGTTTACAGAATGACAGAAAAGGGAACAAAAAGGTTCAAGTTGTCACAGTTGAGGTTCCCACTTCAAGTGCTAAAGCTTTGGAGCCTGAACAGCCCAGTTCCTCGGTCGGTGTTCTTTCTTCTGCAGATAGGAAACGGAAGGAAGGCAAATCGTCCCGCTCACCTAAAAGGAAGCAGAGAAGTTGTGGTAAGCAGCTGCAGTCTACCAGCAAAAGTAAACAGAATAATCTTAATGACCCATTACGTAAGAAAATGGCAAGGAATCCTCCACCGAACCCAGTTGTACCAGGCTCTGACAAAAGTGAGAGTGTCGACACACGTCGTAATGGGAGTGAGGGAAGTTCCAGTGCAGGAGGGAACAGTGCTCCTACACAAAACCTGGCTCCAAAATCTTTCATAACAACAGCAAGATACAAATTGCAGTCACGTGTTGGGAGTGATGAAGCTTGTGTATTTTTAGAAAGTATAGACAATGTGCCCACTGGTGTGGCTTTCAAGGACAGTGATTTCCAGCCAACTCCTTCAAATCACGGTGATGCCAAAGTCTCTCTGAAACCAGTTACAAATGAGTGCTTTGAAAATAAAAGTAAAAAAAAAGTTCCCATAAGGAAGCCGACAACGAGTATTAAACCACGTTTTCCCCGAAGCATTTTTAAAGCAGTTATTCCCCAGCAAAAAACCGGACTAACTTCTGAAAAGCAGTCAGTTTGGATTTGGACCAAAGCAAATGCTATCATCAGAAAGTATACTTTGAAATACTCTGTTTTCTTGCGTCATAGATACCAGAGTAGGGCCTCTTTTTTTGCAGTGAATCCCAAGAAGAAAATACATGATGGCATTAGACTGAAGAAGGGGAGGGATCCAGGTAAAGTGCTTTTGAATTCCTCGGTTCCCCCAGCTTATTTCCAAGAACGGTTCAGAGCTGTGGCAGGACCCTCTCGGAAGCAGTTGGTGCTGCGTTCTTCCAGCGCTGTGGGAAGAAAGGAACTTGATGATAAAACTTACACTTACAAAAAGAAAACACCAATACTCGTGAAAGCATACAACTTGAGAAGTTCACGTTACATTCCAGCTGATAGTAGGATGACAACTCGTCTTTCAAGCAAACAGTAATTGAGGTAAAACAGAAGTGTTTGTGTTCTGGCTGGTGGAGAATTCAGTACTTCAATTGAAATACATTTGATAGTTTTGTGCACATAGCTTTCCCAACTTTGGCGGGAAAATTAACCTTAAAATATTTTGCTACAGATATTATTTTTCAGAACTTTTATATTCATTTAAATTAGCTTTTAGAGCCCCTGCTTCTTTTTTTTTTTTAAGATTTCAAAGCAACCTTTGTCCAACATTTTCTGTAGAAGAGTTTCATTTGTCATAATATAATTTAATGGAGTATATAGTATTTTGTCCCTCAGATCATGTCTTTATTTTTTTATGATAATTTCTCTTGTGCTGGCAAGTTATACTACCGAGAAAATGAAAACAGCAAACTTACTAATGCCATCATTTCAAAAATTGGGACAAATGCCTAATGCTTAGATTCTACTTGTTTCTGAGTGGCATTGTCAATATACGATGCTAACTGGATAATTCAAAAGAAGGAACTATAATGAGTTCTTTCAGCCTTTCAGCAGGACTGACTTAAATTATCACAAATGAAACAAAATATGATTTATCTTTTAAAGGCAGTCCAGAGAATGAGGTACCATATCTTTAATCCAGTTTTTTAAAAGTGCCTGGTGAATTTATAGATACAACACAAGCCCTGCATCATTTAAATTGGATCTGCAAATCTGTGACTTTTGTCTTTTGGACACATGCACACATAAGTCTTCTCTTCAGCATTATTAGATCCTAAGGGGAAGAAGATTTTGTTAGTAGGATTAGGCTTTTTAAACCACCTTTATTCTTTCACATGCAGGGTTGATAGTTTAGTATGAAAATCCAGGTAATTTTATGGCCTTATCTCTTAAACAATTTTAGACATTACTTTATCATTTTTAAATAGCTTAATCTGAATTGGCTTCATAATATTATTTGGGCAGGCCATAAATTGTTGTCATCATTAAGTTAATATTTTAAACAACCGGAATAAATCTAGTAACCTAAGTGAAGGCCCATTTTGCAAGTGACAAACTATTGTTTATCTTACACTAGACAATTGATTATCTTAAACTAGTTATGTAGTTTAAGATAAACTAACTTGATAATTTATCTTAAACTATCTAGCTGACTTTTAACAGTTCAGATAAAAGGTGTCAGTGTAGAGCACTTGATCATATTCAGATCCTTTATTTAGGGATGCCCAGTAAGCTGGGAGAGATGCATCCCATTTATCTGGTGAAGCCAAGATCCTGGCTTTTTTTCTGTCATTGATGTTGAGGGGAAACAAGAGTTTCACTGACATTGTGTAACTATTTTCTTGAAACTAAAATCAGTGTTGTGTCTTGATTTCAGAGATAACGTGTTACCTTAGAATCAATGAAATATAAATGTGATTTTGTTTCAGGGGTCATTATTTAATCTGTGGGTACTTTATGATGGTGTTATATTGTAATTTCTTTACTTCTAAATTTAAACAGTGATTATGTTGAAAAAAGTGGCAAATGTGTATTTCTTAGTCGCAAAGCAATCTATATAGCATTTCTTTAACCTTGCCTCCTATCTAAACATTTTAATTTCTTTTCTTAAACTATCACTGCAGGCTACTTGTTCAAAGTAATCTTCCAGTTTTATTTAGGTAGAAAGCTCTGTCCTCCTGATGAAGAAATAAACAGCCAATATTCTGTTAAATATTCTGTTTGTGGATATTGGCATCTTTTTGCCCTGTGGAATAGACACATAGTTCCCTTAAGTACTATTAATAGGCATTCTGCAGTTCTTCAGAGTAGTTTTAAAAGCAGAAGTTCAGCCGGGTGTGGTGGCACACACTTGTAATCCCAGCACTTGGAAGGCTGAGGCAGGAGGATCATTGTGAGTTCAAGGCCAGCCTGGGCTACATAGTGAGTTCAAGGCCAGCCTTAATTACACTGGGAGACCCTGTCTCAACCCCTCTCCCCACTTCAAAAATAAAGCAAGAGTTTATATGGAAATAATGTACCATGTAAATATGGTGAATCATATCTATCAGGATTACATCAGGAGGGAATACAGCTCTTATAATTCAAGTGATCAAAATTTAAAGTTATAAAAGTGTTACTCTATTTTACATACAGAAGCTTTTCTAAGTACTATTTTAAGACAGGACAGGGAAAAAGGTTTGTGTTTAAAAGTTACATCATCAAAATTATAAAAGTATCATATAATACCGACAGTTTTGTTTAACATTTTGGAAATACTAAATTCTGTAATGGTTATTATTTTTGGCAAGTTTGAGGACTTGAAATTGTAAAACTTATAATTTAAGTTGATAATGAATTACTTTAAAAATTTGATAGGATGCAAGGTCTACCCCTTTGCCTAAATAAATGTTGGCTTAATTTGCAGATTAGATAAAACAATTGGTGATTTTTGTGTATTCTTTCAATAGTAAAAAGTCAAATTACAACCATAATGAATACTTTGTTAATCTTGTCTGTTTTGGTATCTTGCATAGGTTTTTACTGTAATTGTCCTGAGTTCCTATACAGTATGTGGACAGTGTTGTGCAGTGTTTTTGCATTTGTGCATCTACTTACATAACTAGGGCTCTGAGTAACACTTTTTTTTGCTTAAAGAAAAGCTATATTTAAATATTCAAATAATTATATATTTCCATGTAAAACTGTGAAGATTAATGTATTTTTTATAATGCAATTTAAAGTGTAAACTTGTTTTTGATGTTATCGAGATAAAATTTATTACATATTGAAATTTGTGTCTACTCTTGCCTCACGTTAGAAACTTTTTCTGGAACCAGAGAATAGTGAATGGAAGTACTTTTATAAATGGTCTGAGAGATAAGAGAATATAAATGTTGATGCTGGTGAGAAGATAGTTTAACCAAAGATATGCAGGTTGTATTCAAAGTAGTAGTTTTGTTCAAACAAATGAAATTAACCAGCCATTTCTTTGTCTGAGAGAGTGGTGGATTAGCAACTTTTCACTTGGTGTACCTGTGTTTGAAAAGCCCCATGAACAGGACTGAGTTCCGAAGGTAATATCTTTATCACAATTTGACACATACTGAGGAGGGAGAACTCTCATACTTTCCATGCCTCCCATGTCCTGCAGTACCATAGCACACTACCGAAGACAGCATAATGTGGAAGAATGTAAGGATGTCCCTGAGAGAGGGGCTTTAGTCCCAGTATTGATGAGTTCCAAAGTTTGTTGGTCTGGGATCTTACTCTTGTGATAGCAAACTTCTGCTATTTATAATTTAAAAGATTTCTATAGCAAAATTGTAAAATGGAAGCCCCTTTTCACTTTTATGTGTAGAAAGTATGGAAACTATTTACAATCATGTAATTATGGAATTACATACTCATATTTCAATTTAAGAAGGTAGAAGGAAAGGAGATGGGAAAAAGCCTCAACATTTTCTTATTTTTGGTTTGGGTTCCAGATTTTAGGGAAATAAGATAATTTAGTACTTTTTCCTCTGTTATTGTACTTCCTATGTGCATTTAAAAAATTCTCCCAAAGTATTTTAAGCTACTTTCTTTAGTAGGTCTAGGATGAAATATAGCTTATTGTTGAATATTGAAATGACTAAACTTATACTTTGATCTTTATAATTTATTACATTAATGTGATAATACACTTATTTCTAGGTGTATTTATTTTAACAAACCTTTAAGCTTGGAAAGAAATTTATCTTCCAGATCTCCAAGTTGCTTGTGTATGCACACACTTTGAGCCCTTCCAGGGTGCAGAACATTGTTCTGAGCTTTATTTGTTTTATCTCATTTGATCTTCAAAGAACACTTATGAATTAAATAAATTAGACATTATAATTATTACTATTGATTGGATGAGAAAATTGAGGCATAGTTAACTCCCTTTCCCACCTCCAGTTCTATGCCACCAACATTCTAATTTATGTCTAAGTTTTTAGCATTTTCTGGACATTTCTTATGATTGGAACCATAAAATATGTAGCCTTTTGTCTTACTTCATTCACCATGTTTTTGAGGCATCATGTTTTGTAGCATGTATCAACATATTGCTCCTTTTTATTACTATAGAGCCTTTACAGCCAGTTTTTAACAAAATTGGTTACAGAACCCTCATCTTCTTACAACAAATATGATCAGGGCATTGGGTGTGAGGCTTCTTTATACCCTATATGCCTTGTATTTATTACTTGATTACTCCCCAAATCCAAGATTACACATAATAATTGCATTTTTGAATACTCTGTTTCCCTCTAGATTTTGACTCTTTGTCCCTTTACTGCCTATCATGGCATTCTTTTCCCTGTGCTCAGTGAATTCTCATTCTTCAGTGTCAACACATTTCCCTGTGTTCTCAGTCTTTTCCTGGTGGCTTGTTTGCAGGTAAATGAAAGCCAAGAATCATCCAAGTTGCTCATTCTAATCCACTTGTGCCACAGAACCAGAACATGTTAATGGTGTCCTGGTTGTAGTGAGCACTTTTTTTAAAGTTATTCTCTTACATACCTATAATACATACCATCAACATCAGTAACCAACATTGATAGAACTATCTGCTCCACAGACCTTATTCAGATTGTCCCCAAATGTCCTCTGTAGATCCTGGATTTGATCCAGGATTAGATTTCATGGTTCTTTTGTTAGTTTGCTTCAGTATGGACAGTTCTTCAGCCTTTCTCTGTATTTAATGGTATAGCATTTTGAAGATAAACTAGTTACTTTGTGGAATATTCCTCCTTTGAGTTTGATGTTTCTTTGTAATCTATTCGTTTTTTGGAATTCTGTGTTCTCAGTGTATCTTAACAGAAGCCATGTGGTGTCAATTTGAATAAATGTGGTGATCAAAGATATCCAGTGTTGGTGATTTATCTTGGGGGAAATGCTTTTAAACACAGAATTGGGGCCTCTCATAGAGGTTAAATTATCAACAAAGAGTTTACACTTCTTCACAATTAACTTTTGTGGGTGAATATTTTACCTGCTTTGTTTAGATCCAACTAACTATAGGTAGCACAATAGGTTATTCATACATCAAACAAATATTACTGCAACCCCCAACTACTTCTGGCTTTATGGTGGGTTCTAAGGGTTCAAGCATCCACTGAACAGGCTTCTAGTTGCTCACTCTTATAAGCTGACATGAATGAAAGTAGTGTTAAGTGCCATAACTTGGTCATAGTTTGTATCCCCCTAAA